AAATCCAGCCTGCCCGCTGCAAGGGGTCTGGCAGCAAGCGGAGAGCAGAGAGACGCCTGGGCGATGCGCGGGTCTGAAGAAGCAGCGAGCTCACCGGACTGACGGTCTGGACGTAAATAAATCATGGTTTTTGCCTGGGGGCGATAGGCATACATTTGAAGCTTGCGTTCCTCTTACACATCATTACGCCCCTGAGAGGGGAAAGAGAGCTGCGTAGTGTCCCAAGTTGGTAGCAAAACTGCATTGTGTGTAAATAGCCCCCGGGCCTTTGATGTGAGCAGAGAGGGAGATAATCCGCTCAGAACAGCCAGGGGGCGAGGGCTCAGCAGACACAGAGAGGCCGGCTGAGGGTGCCCTGCTGTGCTGAGCCCCTTCTCCTGCCCCCACCAAGGTAAACTTAGCTCCTGCAGGGGTTGTTTCCTCTAATACCTTCAGAGAGACAGAAGCAATGCTTAGGTAAAATCAAGTGGGAAGCTGGGAAGGCCAGAGCAGAGAAAGGGAGGGAAGGGGAGTCCGGCAAGGTGTCAACCTGAGCTCCCGCCAGAACCAGGCCAGGCTGGCCGCAGCACCAAAGGGCGCCTCCCAGAGGTGGGCAAGGGGATGGGGGTAGCAGCACCTTGGAGCCCGTTCATTCGTTCATGCGACAAAACAGACCAGGTCCCTGCTCTCTTGGAGCTTATGGTTTCGTGTAAGCCACGCCCAGCTGACAACCTGGTTGCATACTTTGATACGTACCGTCGAGGGGAGAAGCAGGGATGCAAGGCTGTATAACAAGGAGCCCCAGTTTACATGGAGGCGGGGAGCAGGGTAGGGTGGTGAAGAGAGGCCTCTGGGATGAGCAGTGTCCGCCAAGATTTGATCCCAAGGTGGCCAGGCAAGGGGTGTGGGCAGAACACCTGAGGCAGAAGCAGCAGCGCATAGAAAGGCCCCTTGGGGGGAGGCCAGTGCATCTGCAGGTGTGAGCCGGAGAAGGGGAGCCGGCTGAGCATGGAAGACCCGGGAGGACTTGGGCCTAAGAGCACCAGGAAGCCGCAGAGGGCGTAAGTCCTCTTTATGGTCCTCCTGACTTGATAAGGATGGCTGCTGGGGGTTGCCACCCAGCCGTCTCTCAGACATGGCTGCGGCCACCCTCCAGCCCCCTGCCCTGCCATCTGGTTGCCACCAGCCCTGGCCAAGCTCTCCCCTGCGCCAGTCCACACCCGCCAACTTCCTGCATTTGCCCCCGCAGCCGCCCGCAGGGGGAGGGATCCGGGAAGATTGACACTGAGGCACCCGTCGGAGCTGCCGCCTGGGCCTTGGATGAGAACCAGACCTGCAAGAGGCTTCACGAATGGGGAGCGAGTCTCTGTCACCACCATCTCACGAACCTGTCTGCTCCCACCTCTACAGGGAAAGATTTTCATTCATGAGGCTTCGATGCTGCCAGCCCAGTGCCCCGCATGAGCAGGCACTCGGCCAGTGATCAGCTGCAGTTAGCAGCGCCCGAGACCCTCCACTCCTCTTGCAAGCGGGGAAACTGAGGGAGGCTAGTATAAAGGAAGGAACAGGTTGAAGTGGGTGTCCGTGTCCCAAGTCGACACAGCCTTGCTGCAGAGCCCTGGGCAAGTCACCTCCCCTCTCCCAGGTCTCCATCTCTTACCCACAACGCCAGGTGGGTGGGCCAGATCATCTTCAGTTCTCATACCTGTCGTCACCCTCAGAAGCACAGAGAGGGGCAACACCTTCATCAGTGCCACACAGCGTGTCTGTGGCAGGGCTGGGATCACAGTTGTCTCCAGGAGTAGACAACATATTCTAACCCCAACCCAGTCTTCTGAAGCTCAAGTACTAAATGGGGAGGGGTGCTAAGCTGAAATGTACTATTACTTACAAATCTCTTTATATGGATAGGAAAATTAATACTATGAACAATTTTGGAACCAAAGAGGTTATTTGGTGGGTCTACAAAGAAAAACCCTAGCCCAGCTGGTGTGGCTCAGTGGTTGAGCATTGACCCATGCACCAAAAGGTCACTGGTTTGATTCCCGGTCAGGGCACATGCACAGGTTGTGGGCCAAATCCCCAGTCAGGGGCATGCAGGAGGCAGCCGATCGATGTTCTCTCTCATTGATATTTCCACCTCTCTCCCTCCCCCTTTCTCTCTCTCTAAAAATCAAGAAAGATGTGTTCAACCCCTTGCAATAGATGTGCCAACTATAAAACGCTCCTGTCCCTTTATTACAGTGGTCCCAAGAGCTTCTCTCTGGGGGACAGGTCTGTTAGCCAAGTTCATTGGCTATCTGCAGTAGTGATGATGAAGCTCAGTTCTGTGAAAAGTCATGTTCCAGCTGTCTTCACCATGAAGCTGAGAGAGCAGGGCTTGTCTGTTTGAAAGAGTTCAGCTGCCCGAGACTCACAGCCATTTTGTACAGTGGAGGAAAATGCGGGGTTTGTTGTTTTGCTGACCCTCCTATAGATCGTGAAGGCAGGTAGCAGGGCTTGTACCTCTTTGCAATCCCCAAATCCTTGCTCGTAGTAAGACCACGTTGGCTGATAAAAAAAAAAAAAAAAAAAAAAAGCGAAGCAGAAAGGAAGAATATATGGCCTGAAACATCCCAAAGACAAAGACCCAGGACAACCTACCCAGTAAGAGCATGTGTCTTAGAATCAGACAGACATGGGTATGAATTCTAGCTTCTCTGCTTAATGGCTGTGTGACCTTAGGCAAGTCACTTAACCTCTCTGGGCCTTATCTTCCTCCTCTGCACAATGGGAGCAGCAATAGCCCCCCATGGTCATAGTTACAAGGGTTAATGAGACCACATGGGTAAGCCTGCAGCACAGTGCCTGACACATGGTAGAGACCCCTCTCCCTCCCTTCCATTCAGCCATTAACATCTGCATGAGAGCCCAGCCCGTGTGGCTCAGTGGTCGAGCATTGACCCATGCACCAAGAGGTCACCGGTTCGATTCCCGGTCAGGGCACATGCCCAGGTTGTGGGCCTGATCCCGAGTGGGGGGCATGCAGGAGGCGGCCAATCAATGTTCCCTCTCATCGATGTTTCTACCTCTCTCTCCTTTCTCTCTCTCTAATAATCAGTAAAGAAAAAAAATTGTAATAAAATAAAATTTTAAAAAATCTGCATGAGAAAGGCAGCCTTCTGCACTCACCCTGCTGTGTACCTTCCCCTGCACTGGAGGATGAGAAGCCAGAGTATCGCTGTGGCCTCCCCACGTCAGGGGAGACGGTGCAGCGGAGTGTGGTCGGGAGGCGACCCAGGCCCAGGCTCAGTGGCTGCAGGAACCCCACAGAGTTGGCCTGGCTCTCTTCCAGCCAATTTTGCCAGATGTAGTTTGCTTCTGCTCCAGGTTCCAAAGCAGTTATGTAATCATGATAACCATAGCATTTGGAGAAAGCTTACAGTTTCAAAGCACTTTTGCATGTATTACCTCAGGTGATCCTCTCAATAACCTTGAGAGGTAGCAAAGGCAAGGATGTGAACCGCCCTTTTTTAGCTGGAGAAACTGAGGCGGGGGTCTGTTTGGTTCGCCTTAAGTCACACAACGAATAAGTGGCAACATCAGACTTGGACAAGCATCTCTGTGGGCCTTGCCCTGAGCTTTTCCCCACACCTCACACGGTAGCTTTGTCACCGTGCAGCCATCGAGCAGAAGTGGACTGAGCGCCTACTGTGTGCTGGGATTCAGAAATGAAAGGCAGGGTCGAGTTCAGGACCAACTGCTCAGCAGCATGGATCGCTGCCACGGTGAAGGAGAAAGGGGAAGAGGGAGGAGTAAACCCACCTTGACCCAGGGCACTGGGAAGGCTTCCTGGAGGAGGAGGTGCGTCACTCGTGTCTTGGAGAATAGCTAGAGGTTGCATAGGCAGAGCCAGAGGTGGTCCAGGCGGACAGAAGAATGAGAGTCACAGGACGCAGAGCAGCAGATAGAAAGCCGTCCGTGTGAGAACCAGCAGGGCACATCCGGGTGCTGTAAGATGTTAGATCTGGCTCCACCCACCCACTCACGCATTCATTCATTCATTCGACATACGTTTCTGGAGCACCCCCGTGTGCCAGGCACTGTGCTAGCCACTAGGGAGAGATGTCTCAGCAGATGTAATCCCTGAGCCCTGGAAACCTACCTTCTAGTGGATTTCTGGGGACTCAGATGAGAAACGGTAGACGGTGGAGATGTGCTTGTCATAGAAGGCTGGGTGTGGAAGGTCCTGGGTTTCAGCCTAGTGATGAGGAGACCTGGCGGATTTTAAGCGCCAGATGAACAAGGTCAGGTTTGCATTTCAGAAATAGCAAACCACAGTTAAGTGGAAGAATGGGCTAGAGGAGGTTGTCTGCAATCCAGGAGCCCAGGCAAGAAACGGCTGGGTCCCTAGACACAGCAGTGTGGAAGACAAAGGTGAAATGCAAGATGGTTAGAGAGACAGTGTTGACAGGCCTTGCTGGCTCATTGGACATGAGGTGGAGGAAGAAGCCTGCACAGCCACCCTGAGGGTCTGGCTTGAGCCCCTGGGCAGGCAGTGATGCTATTTCCTGGAGCAGGGTTGCGGGAGAATCTTGGGGGGGGCGGGGGCTGAGGAAGAGCTGTTCCCACTGGGACATGCTGAGTGTCAGGGGTCTGTGGTCCCCCTGAGGTCATGTTTATTAGGCAGTGGGATTGGTGTGTCTGGAGCCCAGGAAAGATCTCAGGGCCAGAGGTAGTTTGGAGGCTCAAGAGCTTATTAACAATATTTGACACTTGGAAGCAGACAAAGGGAGAAGAGACCAGATCTCATTGCAACAAACCCTGGAGGGTGTCCAGACCTGTTCTCTGGAGCCAGAACCACGCTTTGCCAAAGTCGGGCCATAAGCCAGGGTGAGGACTCATTGGTCCCAAGAGGGGTTGATTGTGATGGGCAGTGGGGACTCGGGCCTGCTGTTGGATTTCTGGGGTCTCACCAATCTCCGGAGCCCAGTCTGAAGTCACCCATGTGCTTCTCTCTCTCTCTCTCTTCTCTCCTTCAGGTGTTTACAAAATATGGGAAGTGTTACATGTTTAACTCAGGCGAGGATGGCAAACCTCTGCTCACCACGGTCAAGGGGGGGACAGGCAACGGGCTGGAGATCATGCTGGACATTCAGCAAGATGAATACCTGCCCATCTGGGGAGAGACAGGTGAGCCGGGCACATGGACCTGGGCAGTGGGTGATGGCGGAGGGGTACAAGACTTTGAAAAACTGGTTTGCCTTAGGGGGATTGTCTTGGCCCACCCTTTGAAGAATTGATTTCTGCCAGGGGGTTGGTGGCATGCCGGTGAGTGGTAAGGATGTCCCTGGCATGGACAGGGATGAGTTTTGTTGGGTTTCACTAGATGGGAGATGGGCAGATGGTGGGAGTATTGGAAAGAGAAGGCAAGTAGGGTGAGGAGAGGTGTTGGGAGGAGGCATGAAGAAAGGTTTGAATCAACAAAAATAGTTGGGCAGCTGAGTGGCTAGATTTCAGGAGAAGAGGAAGGGATGGATCAGCCCCTTCCTCTCCCAGCCGTGTTGAATATCGAGACCCAGCTAGGAGGCCCGGTGGGAAGGAAAGCAGACCCCTGTCGCTGGGGGAGGCTGGAGGGGCTGTGCAGGGCTGGAAAGCCGAAGGGTAGGGACTCAGACCTGGCACCATGCCTGTGCGAGCCCCTGGGGGCCGTGTGTGCACAGGTGTCAAAGCTTATTCCATGCCTTCATTTAGTTGCTTCTTTATTCAACAAACAATGCATTCGCCATGTGTATTACCGCAGGCTTTGCACCAAAGTGAGGACATTAAGGTGAAAAAGACTGAGTTCTTGACCACACCCTAGAGGAGGAGACACAGACGGCAGCCACCGTGACCCGAGTGTGCCCGGGGCTGTGGAGGGTCGGCGGCTGCACCTGGGCAGGCGGGGAGAGGGAGGTTCAGGGAAAGCACCCTAGTGCGTGCGCATTGAATGGGGTCTTGGGATTGTCCTGGGTCATACAGATGCGTCCTCATCAGAGGGGTGCAGGAAGGTCAGACAGAGGAGAAGGCAGGAGCAGAGATGGAGTGATGCAGCCAGCGAGCCTAGGGATGCAGGCGGCCTCTAGAATTCCACCAGGTGGAGAAAGTAAAGAGGTGCCCAAGATGGGACCATGGATGCAAAGGAGACCCAAATAAGATTAACGCAGTGTCCAGGGCATAACGGTTAGTTGGGGGGTGGGGAGCTCAGGTGATGGGCCTAGGAGGGGCCCCAAGGAGGGGTGAAGGGGAGAGAAGGTTCCAGCAGGAGGGAGGCCCTGGCCCCCAGGTTGGAGCTAGGAGGGAGCTTGGAGGCCGAGCAGCCCAGCCCCATCTGCCTGCACCTCCACTTCCTGCAGCCAGTCCTTCCGAACGTGCGGCCCAGCCCTCACCACGCCTGGCCTTCCAGGCTTCGGAGGAGCCAAGGCTTCCAGCCCAGGGCTGACCGACTGCAAACTCCAAGCTCCCCCCGCCCCACTCTCCCTTCCTCCCATGCTCGATGCTCTGTCGCCTGAGCGCCCTGCTGGGGACACAACGTGGCTGGTTCGCCTGCTCCTTGGACCGCAAGGGGAAATGGCCACCACCCGGGCCTTTCCAGCACTGCCTCCTGGCAGCCACCGCTCTGGGCACTCCAGGCCGCGTCTGCAGCTTGCCAAGGGGACACTTAGTCAGTCCCACCCACTTCGCTGAACTCAGAGTCCCTTTCCTCGGGCCACTGGACGGCAGTCTGTGTTACCGCCAAGTCCAGCATCCCTGAATACTGGCCTTCAGAGCCTGGCTCTCCAGCCTGGGTCCGAGGGCCACCGGGGCCTGGAGAAACCCTGTGTCCTGGGAGCTGGCTCTTGGTCCAAAGAGAGACCCTGCCTGGTAAACAAAGAACATATTTGCTATTGAACCACCTGTGCAAAAAGAGAGGAACGGGGACATGAAGAGGAGCCCTGCCCCGGGGTCGGAGGCTCGGCCAGCCCAGCCCACCACGGTCCTCAGCCTTCCTCACCCGCCCGCCAGCATTCCCACCTCCTCTCAATCCCCGGAGACAGGAGCCTACTTCCTTCTGGGAGCTATTTGGGTGATGACAGAGGAGAAGTTAATTGAAAGGTGACTACTGAGGGAGCGGCCTCCTACGGCTCGATGACAGAGGCAGAGCCGTGGGGCAGGAAAGGCGCATCACAGAGACAGGCAGACCCCGGACCACGTCACCAGCTCTTCCGTGACTGTCTGTGGGGCTGAGGAGAGAACAAGCCTGTTACCTGGTTGTAACACAGCGATCGATCACTCAGATACAACCGCCACCGTTACAGGATGGCTGGGGGGCCATTGAGCGCTCCCTGCAAAGTGTGAACAGCGGAGGCATGGTCATGACGACCACAGCTGGGGGACAGTCACACAGTCCCAGAGATAGAGAACATTGTAAATGTCTCACAGCTAGAACAGGGATCCTGAAACACCCCAACATCCGGACGTCCCATCTGCTCAAAGCAGAGTCTCTGATACATGCTCGCCCTGCCTCGTGGACAGCCTCATCTCTCAGAAATGTAAGGAAGCGCCGGTGTGGCTCAGTGGATGAGCGCCGACCCATGCACCAAGAAGTCACCGGTTCAATTCCTGGTCAGGGCACATGCCCAGGTTATGGGCTTGATCCCCAGTGGGGGGCATGCAGGAGGCGGCCAATCAATGTTCTCTCTCTCTCCCTCTTCCTTCCTCTCTCTTGAAAATTCAACTTAAAAAATTTTTTTAAAGAAATGTAAGGAAGCAATGAGGGAACCACTGACCCCCTGGGTGTAATTCTGACTGGCAGGAAGGACCTTGGGCACCCCTAGGTGAATTAGGAAAGGGCACCCCCTTTGGGTTGACCCAGCCCAATGGGCTTATGCTTAGCAAATAGAGGGTGACGAAGAAAATGATCAGAAGTGTTCTTTCCTCTGAGCTGACAGTGCCCCAAACTAGGATGCCCCCTTGGCCACATACCCTTGTGCAGGGCACCCTGGAAATGTGCCCTTTTAAAGAAGGCAAGCTCAGTCCCGTGTGCACCTGGTCCATACGCCCCCAGACGGGCCCTACGGAAGGTCAGGAGTTCAGAGGGTACATGTTCCAGGAATAAAAGACCCAGGAAGCTGGCGAGAGGAGTTCAACACGGTTACCCGTGGCAGGAAGGCTTCGGTGGCCGCAGCACGAGTCCTCGGGAGAGGCGAGCGCGTGCAGTATTCACTTCCCAGAGGCCTTTGATGGAAACGTCTCTCCTGCAGGAGCTCAGGAGACGGCAAAGGGCAGGAACGCTGCCCTGGACGGTGGAGGTGCGGACTTCGCAGCCAGCGTTTTCTAGCAGAAATTAAACCGAAGGCAGGTGGGAAGTTGTTAAAAATGAAACTGTGTCGACGTCTCAGAGAAACTTCAAGAAAAGAGAAGGAGGCAGTGGGTTATCTAGGGTGCCCATCCAGGGAAAGTGGATTCAAACAGGCTTATGTGTAAAAGGGATCGTGTTGCCCGGAATCCAAGGCACGCTTCAGCCACCGCCACAGGTGGGGGGGCAAGGGTGCGGCTTCAAGAACAACTGGAACGGGGGGGGGGGGGGGGGGCGGCGGCTCAGGCCCCCTCGAGACTCTCCCTTTTTCCCCGGATCCCCTCTCTGTGAGCCTTCATTCTCTCTCACGAGATTCCCAATAGTTTTACATTTCACACATCCTTCCACCAGCAAGAGACTGTTCTGAGTCTCTTACTGATCTCCTATTTAAAATAAAAATAAATAAATAAAATCAGGGGAGGGAATCATTGGCCCAGCTCAGTCACGTGCCCGCCCCTGGACCAATCAGTGGTCAGGGAGTGAGTTCTGGAAGGACTGAGAGTCCTAAGGAAGCTGGGGGGCAGCAACTGGAAGGGGTCTCAAGAGATTTGTCTCATGAATGGCCGTGCTGGGGAGGTAGGGGCCAGGGGGAGGGGCGGGGATGGGTTACATCTGAGGAAACCAGAATCCCTGTAAGGGAGCTCTTTTTTTTTAATAGGCTTCATTTATTTATTTATTTTTACTTTTTTAAAATTAATGTTTAGAGAAACGAAGGGGGAGAGAGAGGGAAAAAACACTGCTCGGTTGTTCTACTATGGATGCATTCATTGCTTGATTCTTGTATGTGCCCTGACCTGGATCCATCCCGCAGACTTGGTATATAGGTATATAGGGATGATGCTCTAACCAACTGAGCTACCCAGCCTGTAAAGAGAACTCTTTAATGAACTCAATTTCTGGGTAGATAGGCTCAAATAATCTCCTTCCCTTTCTCATCTCCTTCCATCCTTCATTCACTCCAAAAGGCAAAATACATTTTTACCAGATACCATCTCCTGGTTTCTCCAAATCCTAGGATTGCAGAAAAATGAATTTGATACTCTGTGTTTGAACAAAGGGGTCACTCTGAGAAGCTATGCTAATAGGGGTATCTAAACACTTACTCCCTTCTTCTTACTCCCCTCTGCCTCATCGCTCTATTCCATCTCCTTGCTCACTGGGGTCTAGCCACACTGGCTTCCCTGTGGCTTCTGGAACATTCCAGGAGTGCTCTTACTTTAGGGCCTCTGCATTCTCCACTCCCTCCGCCTAGAATTCTCTTTGCTCAGACCCACGTGGCTAACTGCCCTGTCCGTCAGGTCTTTGCTCAGTGAGGCCGCCTTGACTGCCTCTTTGTCTGCTCTGCCATCCTGTTCTCTGTGATATGCGTCACCTTCCAGTCTACCATATGATGTACACATTTATTTCTTCTTGTCTCCCCTTTTACTAAAGCACATGCTCCAAGAGGTTAGGGGTCTTGGCTGTCGGCTCACCTACATATGCCAGGTTAATAAATATTGGTTGGTCTGTTTGTTGAGAGAGAAAAACATTGCTGTGCACCCTGATGGGGCCAGGATAAGGGAGACACTAGCTTTAATGAGGAGCTACTATGTGTCATGAACATTCTACCCAATGACTCCTCCTCGTCACCCTGCTAAGAAGCGTTATAACCCCCAATGCGATAGAGAAACTGGAGCCCAGAGGTTGCATGAGCTTCCTAGGAGCACACGCCCCGTTAAGTAGCTGAACCAAGCTGAAAACCCACTCGCGAACCCAAAGGCAATCCCCTTGCACTGCCTTCCTTCAACGTTCCGATGTGGTTGCAAAGGCTCCACCA